TTGTTCCCTGCTTAGTCTGGGAGTGCCCTGCTCTTGCATTGAGGGCATCAGTATTCCCTGTGCAGCTGGGTGGAAGGAGGAAAGTGTACGTGAGGCTGCTTCACTGCGGTGTGAGACAACAGTAGCTTATTTTAGCTTTGCCAGCCGCTGCCTGGTTTAGGAAAACAACCTAAGGCTTATTGTATAACTAGATAGAACAGGCATTATCACAGGGCCAGCAGGGAATGCTTTACCACCTTGCAGGCTCATGCCTGGCAGACAGAGTAGCTCTGCAACCCTTATCAACAAAGTACCCTGCTGGCAGAAATCCCCTTGAGCCTCAGGCTGGGCCCTTTGGGGAGCCTCTTGTGTCTGATCTTTTTGTTCAGGGTTCCCCTCTTCTCCCCCAACTAGAAATGCTTGAATCTCTCTTGGCAATTAGTCTCCTGGCTGAGATGAATTGCTCCTCTCTGATCCTCTCAGGCTCCATGGTTGGTGTCTGGCAGGGGTGCTCACTTGGTGAGTATGGTGTTCTTGCTCTGTCCCGCTGCCTGGGGAAATACTTGAAGAGCTTCTGGGAGGAGAGAACATGGGTGAGGAACGCAGGAGTGCCATGGAGAGGCAGAGGGAGGAGAAAGTTTTAAGGCCTCGTGAGCAGGATCTTTCTATGCAAACATCTTGCATCTCACTTTGTGTTAAGAGCAGAACAAAGGCAGCTTTATTTCTGACTTTCTTTCCATTGTTACTTTTCTCACCATTTTTTCTTCTGTATTTTTTTTAATTTTTTACTCCATTGAGGAGATTGTTGTAGACAGCAGTGTGTTGAGTTTGCATCCAGTTTACAGCCACCTCCTAATGTGTTTAAACTAGAGAGGCCTGAGAGAAAGGAGGGAGCTGGGCTTGAATGTACCTGCTAATACCATGGCTCTCCTTGCTGGGTCAGGACAGTGCTGAAGAACCACAGTGTCCCTGCCTCTAAGAGGCCAGGCTGAGCAGCAAGGGAAGAGAGCAGACAGTGAGAAGTTAACCCTGTGGGTGTTAGTCTGTGGAGGCTTGCTTCATAATACATTTTTTTACAATTCTCATTTTTAAATGGTTCTGCATTATCTGGCTAGAGTACTTGTTTTTGGGGCCCTCCCTGGAGGACGTGGGTATTGAGGAACAATCTGGAAGGCTGGCGGAACAATTCAAGCAAGACTTTCCCCTTGCTGTCCCAGGGGACCATATGTGACTTTCTGCCCTCGTATCTGTGGCAGTCAGCTCTCTTGTGCTCTGTGAGGAAGGCACTGCATCCATCATGTGAGGTCCAGGAAGGCTTTCCTGTTCTCGGCTGGTTGCACACTGTGGCATGTGCCACATGAGTCTGAGAGCTGTCCTCCAGCAGAGTCCCCTCCTTCTGCTGCACAGAAACGAGGGTCTCTGCAGTGTACAGCCATGTGAAGAGGCTGGGTGGGTGAGAACTAGATTTGTGGGTGGACCTTCATGCTCATCTACGGATGTGCTGGTGTAAAGGAGTGGTGGGAGCTCAGTTCGTGTCTGGCAATTTTGGACTTTGCCTGCTGAGATACCGAAGTCTCTGACTGGGCTGTGTGTGACTTGGTAGAAACATTGTAGTAACTGTTTTGTCTCAGCTTTAACTGATTATTGAGTGTATTTGTAGCACACTGATCATTGAGTTTGCCTGAGCCCTGTGGGAGCTCCTGGGGACCAGGCTCCCATCCCATCTGTCTCACCAAGGTGTTTGTTAGTCCAGAGAAGGTTAGTTCAGAATAATCCACAAAGGAGACTGGGGTCTATATTCTAGGCAGATACTTTGTCATACTCCATAGCATGAGAGCTGAGGGTAAAGATAGATTCATGCTTTACCTTCCCCGTGTTCTCTGGGACAAAAAACTTGATTTTTGTTGGAATAACATTCTTTAGATGTCCTGTTCCCCTCACTCCTCTTTCTCAGGCTGCAGACTACTATCAAAAGAATAAAAAGGAGCTACTCTGGGATTATTTTAGGGCTACACTGGAGAGTGTATAAGATGGTGTGTGAGAAATTTAGACAATGGGTCTTTATGGAAAGAGTAGCATCTTTCAGCATAACAGAAGTAACAGCATAAAGACACTTCCAATTTAGGCAAGCTTGCCAGCAAGGGCTAAGAGCCCAGAGTCTGGCTGTGGGATTCACTTGTGCCTCATCCCCCTGACTTCAAGGAATGCTGGCTGGAAACATGTAGATCCTTGTTTCAGCAAAACCCAACAGCTTCCTTGCTCAGGCTGCAAATCCCTGGAGGATATTGATCTCACCCTTGCACAGCTGAGCTATGTTCAGAGCCTGGATGTTGCTACACTGCCCTTACTAAACTTTTTCAGAAAGACACCTGCAGTAGCTACCAAATGTTTTTGAGTTCTGGTGTAATGGTGTGAATACACCACAGACCACCTGGGACAGAAAGAGATTCATTAGCTGTGCTGGGATCAATGAAGCTGAGCCCTGTGGGCGTTGCTTGATCATGCACAATGGTGTCTGATTAGAAACAGGAATTCACAGAAGAAATGGAGTCATTTCTTAGGTTGAAGGAGCAGAGCTCTTTTCAGAGAGCTGCTGAGGCCTTAAGCTGCTAAGCCCTGAATGATTTTTGGACAAGGAAGCTCTGTGGTATGGCAAACATAACTTTCTCCTGCTATGGAGAAATCTGCAGTATAAGCCTTGGAGTGTGGGTTTAAGAATTAGTCTTGGTTCTTCAGCTTAATGCCAAGAGAGAAAGGGCAGGCAATTTTTGCAACAGGAAGCCAAATGTTGTTCAGCTGGTGCTGGGAGTGAGGCTCTGCAATGTCTGTGTGTGAGTTGGGCAGTGATGAAGATCCTGAGGGCCAGAAGTCTGATGCTTTAGAGATTAAATTCCCTCTATTTGGGCAGCTGAGACCTCTTGCAGCAGCTTCTGCTACAGATGCTCTAGAGGAGCCCTCCCTGCACCATGTGGAGATAAAGCCTGGCTTGTTTGCTGTGGTGGGGCTGGGGGCCCCTCCAGGTGTGCTCCAGGGCGTAAGGAGCCTGGCAAATTAAGAGGATCTTGGCTATTATAGAATCAGTTCCAAGCAGAAGTGCTTAAACTAGTGCTGCATTTGTTTTTCATCTGATAACAGACCAAGAAGCTTGGTGGAAGGAATTTGGGTTTTAGTCATGCTTTTGTTGTGTGGCTGTGGTGGAATGGAGCTTAACAAGTGGACTCTTGTGCAAGTGCTGCTGCTGAATGCAGTTTTCTTATCTTATGCTCAGGGTCTGGCTCTTCTGATATCTTATGGAAATCACAGGAGAGAGGTGAATCTAAAGAGCTACTGACGTGAGGACAAAAAACTGAGCTTGTGTCTATATTGTGATACTCTTTTATTAGTTACGAAGACCTAAAACACAGCAATGGTGGTGACTTGAATTACTTCCAATACAGCATCAGCACTTTAGAGTTGAACTCTGATCTGGGGAGTGGTGGCCAAAGCTGTGATGAACCCCCCTAGACTTAATTTCTTTTTTTTTTTCCAAATCAGGGTGTAATAGAAATGGGCTGAAACTGCAGTGTATTAAATGTGCTCTATCCCATTTTATGGTGCTTGCTGGTTCATGTGGTAAGCCTCCCTAATGTGAGTCAGGCCTCAAAGAGTTGCTCACCTTTGCTGGGATGACAGGTGAGAATTTCACTGCATGGGAGGGAAGCAAGGGGCTATCCCTTGCCGCTAGCTCTTGGCTGCTCTGCAGTGTTGGCCATCTGTGCAGCAGGGATGTTTTTGCTGTTCAGGAATTTGTTTGAGCTGCAGCATATGGATGTGTAGGATGAAGGCTGTGTGTCAGCTCCTGTGTGGCCAGCTGTGAGCCACAGCTGCCCTAGCCATACATGCTGAACCTCTCCAAGATGAGGCATGCAGCCCAATGCCTTGCTACCATCCTTCGTAAGCCTGTGCTCAGCCCCAGGACCTTCCTGTGGCTCTGATTCCTGCCCATACCTTTTCAAATCGCAACTCAACCCTACTCCTGATTCTTCCCCTACACTTCCAGTCCCCCAAACAGGACTCCACACTCCCAACCCAAGATCCTAATCCTATGTGCTGCGCTGTGCTTGATTATCTACCTACCCATCAGCTATGCCAGCTGCAAAGGCTACTGGAATGAGAGAGTTTGGGGATGTGATGCACCTGGGAGTGTAATTTGTGCTCACTTCTGAGGTTTCATGCTGAAAGCAAGGAACAGTTTGTCCTCTGCTAACATAAAATGTATGTCAACATGACTGATAATTCATATTTTTTTAAAAAAAGTGCTCATTTAACTTGTTTCCCTCAATCTTTTTCCCCTTTCCTTTTTTCCTCTCTTTAAGCTTTGGAAATATCCTAGAATCATGAGGAAAGATGAGAAAAAAATATTATTTCATTATGAATTTATTGAGAAGCAAGAAGAGCACATAGCTTAGAGAATGATTCACATATCACTTAAAAGACATTAAAGGAAAAAAAACCTCCAGGTAGACTCCAGAAGACTTGGGTGATATGAATCCAGTGACAGGGCATGGATCACTGGAAAATAGGCATGTTCATCCAATTTGGTCTTTGTTCTGTGGTTATAACAAAATCTATACTAGTGGAGGCTTCAGATAGGCCCCAGGGAAGACTGAAAATGTTGAATACTGTAACTGCATAATATATGATACATATGAAATCCTTCTTTAGCCTGTGTTAATGATTGATACCTCCATAACTTACTGCAAAAAAAAGTTAAGGCTCTCACCTGTTCTTCATCATGCTAATTTCATCTTAAGATGAGAATGTTGGTATCAGATACTTTCTACTTGCAGCTGTATATGTTAGAAGCAAGAAGTGGGCTATGGTGGGCATTTAGAGATAAAATTACCACTAGAGGGTCTAGTGACTTCTTGAAAATAGTGAATTATAAAGAGGAACAGCATCAGAATCGTTGTAGCATGCAAGCAGCTAGCTTAGCTTGAATAGCTTTGGTAGTCTGTAGCTTTCATGAAATTGGTTTGTTGCTAATAATACTCTAGATAATTTTTCACGGTGAAATCGGCACAAGCGACAATGACGTGGTCTTCGTTAGTCAGCTTTGCTGAAATGGTGTAATCTCCCTGTACGAGACAAATAAAGCAAGAGATTAGCCCATCAGTGATATATGGCTGCTTCTGTTTCTATGAGGGAGTCCTCTTTCTAGAAACAGTATAACACATTTCCCATCAAGTTCCTCCAAACCCTTTCCTGTCCCAATGCGATTCCGAACTGGTAAAGGACTTGCCTATATTTTCTGCCAAAATAATCTCATCAGGGATATCAGTGCTGACAGCACAAGTTCAAAATTAAAACAGTGCAAGGAGAACAAAATGTTTTGATGCATAAAAATTCCTTTCAAACCTGTGTAACTTCTCATAAGCAAGCACAGTATGGCCTGAGCTGTTTAGTAACTGGAAAGGGAAGAGGTGCTCAGTTGTCTGGCACTTCTCTTCCTTGGATCTCATTGTTCAGTGTGAATACTGCTATGGATATGACTTTTTATAAAAAGAGAGCACCTTGGGGGATGTTTGTGTATAGATGACTCAATATGTGATGAATTCCTATATAATAAAACAAGAGGCAGTTTAATTTCAAATTGTGTAGTTAAACCTACTAATAATTCAGGCTTTGGAGAGAACTTTTATCATTACAGTGTGAAAAATCTCAACCTTAAAGAAGCCACGGCTTTTTTTTTGTATCGGTCAAAACTGTTCTCTCAAGACACTTGGAGAAGGAGAAGCACTGGGCAAGGGAGGTAAAAAGGCTCATTTAAAAATTTGGAGAAATAGGTGAACTAGATTTAATTCAATCTAGATTGCTAGCCTGGCAGTATTTATTTCTGTCTTTGGAGTGCGGAGGGGGAGCAAAACCTGGGATAGCAGAACTTGGCAGCAGTGGCCTCCTGGCCTTGAGAATAGGTGAACTAGATTGAATTCAATCTAGATTGCCAGCCTCCAGTATTTATTTCTGTCTTTGGACTGCGGAGGGGGAGCAAAACCTGGGATAGGAGAACTTGGCAGCAGTGGCCTCCTGGCCTTGAACTGTAGAATGCTCTTGGCCTGCTCGGAACTCTTCTGATTGTGGAGTAGAAGGAAGCACAGACAGAATGAGTCAGGCTTCTTGGTGTTTGTCTTTTACCATAGGATTTCTAAAGCAATAACTGTCCTGTGTCCTCACAGAGAGGTTCAAGCTGAGTGTAACTTCCAGATTTAGAGACCCACCGGCAACGTGCTCCTGAGAATACAGCCTTGCTGTAACTGCTGTGCAGACTGCACAGACGTCCTTTGGGCTGCTCAGATGAGACTATTCTTTGTGATGGGAAGATGCCGATTGCTGCATGGAATAACTCCTTGTTGCCAGCATGGAAGGATGGTGTTATTTGATTAATTAACAGAAAAGGCTTCTTACTGCCTTTCTCATAAGCATTTTATTCTTCAAAAGCTTATTGCTTCATTCATGGAAAGCAGTTTATAACTCATTTACATTGCTTGCTGGTGATTAGATTTATTCTTCCTCTAGAATAACTTTTGCTCATGGGTAAAAACTCTTATTAAAAGAGGTTTGTGAACAGTCTTAGAACTTCTGGCTCTAATTCCAAGCAAATTAGCTGAATTTGGAGTTTAACTGGTCTGTGTGGATGTTTCTAGGGTTTCCTCTTGGTCTAAAGACCTATTATTCAGTTTGTCTAGAGCCTGTGCTACAGAAGTGTCTTCAGTATGTTGGTAAAGCTGCTCCTGGAGGAGGATGCTGACTAATATGAGCTTGGGCACTCCAGTGTGAGGGATTGAGGCACTGCTCAACACAGCATCTGTAGGCGTATCCTTTAGGGAAGCAGGCTGGTAAGGGTGGGATAACAGCCTGCATAAGGGGGCCCAGCTCCCTGTGTGAAAGCCTTGGAAAATGAAGGTTGTAGTTTCTGCTATCACCAAGGGGAGACTGAGACATATGAGATGGTAGCTGTTGTAGAGGCTCGATCCTCCCCAAACCCAGCTGTTCTTGTTACCACCTTTGCAGGTCTTGGGAAGCCCAGCTCTCTGGGACTCACATTCTTGTTCTGTATCCCTGTTCTGATCTTGTTTTCTCCTTTTCCTGCACCTGGACCAATCCAATGCTGAGCAGGCCCCAGACTTCATCTTTGAGGCTGTGACTTAAATTCTATCTGCTGCTGAAGAACTGAGAGCTCATGCTGTGCTTACTTGATGATCCGGATCTTGCCTTTTCACCCTTCAATTAATCTCTTTGTGTATGTGACTAAAATTCCTTTGTTATTTGCCGGTAAACTGTAGATTCATATTGTGCCTGGTTAAGAGACACTATGGCACATTCAGCATTTGAGACCTGTCTTGCTTTGCAATGTGATTTTTGTGGACCTTAAAGAAGGACACTTAGCTGAATGTGGAGAAAGCTTGCTTGTAAAAAGCATCTGTAACGGATGAACAGGAAATTTGGAACAGTGTCTGGAGTACTGCCTGTTTTCTCACCTAAGAAATTATTTTCTTGTTTTAAGACTCCATAAGTCCAGAGAAAGTGTTCCTAGCCTAATAACTTGCACTTTCAGTTGCAGCCTAGAAGACCTCTGTCTTTACATCTAACACCGTATATGTACACTGGAACACATAATTTAGATAACAATTGCAATTTTGCCTTGATAGTCAGAGAGGATGAATATGCTTCTCCAAATTGCTCAGCCCACGAAAGAGTTGAGTTGCAGCCTTGGTCTCTTAGGAGTCCCTTGGAGATGCTTCTTTTGTTGCCATTTTAAGAGTAATAGATGGGGAGCCTTCTAAAGAACTGTATGGCTGCATGACTTAGTGCTGGTGGAGGAGATCTGCTATCCTAAGAAAACCTGTCTGTCTCTGGATACTGGTGGTTCTTTAATGCCTTAAGCAAAGCCACTTAATTTCACATCAAAAAGGATTAGTCATGTAAACATGATCAGATCCAGTGTGCCAGCTAGGAGAGCTTGGAATATGCTGACATGACTGCTGGTAGTGCTCTGACCATACCTCATTCAGAAAACCCTTCTGCTTGGGAGCACAGCTGTGACCATCTTACCTGTGGGATTTCTTTTATTCCCAGTGTGACTGGTCCCTCATAGTAGAGGTGTTCTGAAAAGCAAAAATGGTGGTGTGTGGTTAGACATGCAGCACATGAAGGAAACAAGCAACTGATTGTAGGTGGTTTTTTTTCTAATAGCACTTCAAAGTGCTCCAGTGACAAGTGTTGTGGAACTGCAAAGAGCTCTATACAGTCTTGCAACAGGTGCCTGAGAAGTGCCAGGAAGTGTACTGCTATATGGGGAAGGCAGGGCAGAGCCTGGGCTCAAGCAGGACCTGCAGTCCCTGCCTGAGTGGAGGAGGGAGGTATGGCTTTGCACAGCTAGGTGGGTGTTTCTGTGTCAGTGTTGTCCTGCAATGGGGAAATGAAAGGAGAGAGGAATTGCTAAACACAAGTCCTTTAGCATGATATGTTAAACATCTGCAGCTACAGTAGTTGAACTATACTGTTTTGGTAACTCTGGAAAAAAAACCCAAAACAATCTGAGCTGAGTGTTTCTGTAGGTGTGGACTTCTGACTGCTTGCTGAACATGACCTTAAAGGAATAAGAATATTTATCTCACTGCTGAGGGGAGCATCACCAAGAAGTTACATGATGTGCTAAAGCCATCACAAGTTGTGTTGGTGACTGGAATCGAGCCCAGGAGTTCCACCTTCCAATCCTCATCTCCCTAATGGTGAGGCACACTTGCTCTTTGCTGTGGAAGAAAGGGCAACTTTGGCACTAATGGACAGAATTAGCAAGCTGTTCTGCAGTTCCTCCTACTTTTTTCATAGCTTACTGGGGCAAACCGTGCAGACTTGACTGAAAATAAAATTTGTAGATGTTTTGATATTTCAGAATTTCTTGCACAACTTGCCCTCTACAAGTCATGGAAAAGTCTAAGAACTGTTTAAGGATTCTCTTTTGTAGGTGTCATGAAATATTCTTTACTTTGACAGTGACAGAGGAGTAAGTGTTTCATCATATTTATGAGTATGTGCTGGCATCTTGATGCTTGTCACTTCTAGAGAGTTTTTAGTCCAGTCTCACTGTGCTGGTTTAAACTGTTTCTTGTGAAATGTTGGACAAAAGGTTTGTGACATGTTTATGCAGTATGGTCCATCTCACTATGCAGTAGGTATCTGACTTAGAAAGAGTCCACAGAAGGTCTTCTCCATGCATGCTACAAAATGTTAGTCAATCCCTTGTAACAAACTTACATGAAAGAATCGTGACTATAAGATTAACTAGGAAAAGAGTAGGAGAAACCTGAGACATCATCAATGTTCTACACCTTTGCATTAATGAGGAATTTGTTAAATGTAATCCCCTAATGATCCTGGGAGGTGGAGAAGATGCAGAACTTCTCATTGTTGCCCTGAAAAACCTGATACCAAACCAGAGAATAGAATAAGTATGTTTTGGCTTGTCACTCAAACTGATCAACTGTGCTGCAGCACTCTGCTGTACTCATTCACCTCTGCATCCCTAGCTACCTCACCTGCACACAAAGAAGTCTTCTCCTTTTCACAGAGCAGTCACCATTGCTGCTTGCTTCTGTGCATGAAGCAAGAGCCCTGGAGTCTGACACATCTCTGCCGCAGAGAGCGGTGACTCAAGAAGTTTAAAAATACGGTACAGCCCACTTCTCAGCTCACAACTTTGAGAGTCTAAATGGAAGTTAAAGGCACTGCAGAATGCATGACTTGAGTGATGAGTGACTCCCTTGAGACTTGAGCTGTATGTGTGCTAAGCCATGTTGTGAGCTGCCCCCTCAGAGTGGTGTGGATCATGCAATGGTGTGGCTCGTGGTTTGTGTGTCCTTTTGTTTAGTAGAAAGCCTTCAGTCAACCTTGAGCCTAGCAAATTCGTGGATGGCAGCAGGGGAGAGTGGACAGGAAACTGGACTGTGAACAATCACCCTTCCCCAAAGTCTGTCTCCACAGGGACATGGAAACTCCTCTTGGATCACGTGGCTCATTAGGGTCTCACCTAGACTGTCAAAGCCGTCCAGAGTCTAAACATATAGATGGAGCATTCAAGCTCTGCAAAGCCTGTAATTTAGAATGAAGTAAGAGTCATCAGGTCATAAATTTGCCTCTGAAATGATGATGCTGCTTCTCTCTCCTTCGGTGTAGGTAGAAGTTATTCCCTTCCACCTTTTGCTGTGACAAAGTAATGATTACATCAGAGCTAGAGGAATGCAGTCTTAGGGCTCTGCATTAGCTCTTTCTGAGAAGTTTTCCGTGATTGCTCTCATTTGTGGTAGCTATGCCTTTGCTCAGTAATCAATGGAGTCACTCTCATGGGCTGTCCTGTCTTTTAAGGAGCCTCAAACTGTTGAGCTAGGTGCTGCGTGTCCAGTTTGAGGTCCATGTTTACTGCTTTGTGCTTCAGCATTGCCCTTATTTAGCCCTTTCTAACCAGAAGTCGTGTGGTGGTCCACAGCTGTTAGCCATACGGAGCTACTGGAGAGGGTCCAGTGAAGGGCCACTGAGAGCATCAAGGACTGGAATATCTCTCCAGTAAGGAGAGGCTAAGGTAGCTGGACCTGTTCAGCCTAGAGAATAGAAAGATTATGGGAGAACACATAAGTATCTACAAGTACCTGAAGGGAAGGTGTAAAGAGGGCAGAGCCAGCCTTTTTCCAGTGGTGCCCAATGACAGGACAAGAGGCAGTGGGCACAAACTGAAACATTAGATGTTTCTCCTTTAACATCAGGAAAGACTTTTTTTTTTACTGTGAGGTTGACAGCTCTGGCAGAGGTTGCTCAGAGAGGTTGTAGAGTCTCCATCCTTGGATATATTAAAAAATCCCAACTGAACATGGTCGTGGGCAACCTGCTCTAGGTGGTCTTGCTTGAATGTGTGGGAATTGGACTAAGTGATCTTCAGAGGTCTCTTCAACCTCAACCATTCTGTGGTTCTCTAACCAGGCCTCTAGAAAACTCTTGTGACCTTCGTTGCTTATACATTGCAGGGGTAAAAAGGACTATACTGTTTTGAAAGTACAATCTGATAGGAAAGCACGGGCGGTTTTAATTTTCAGCTAAGAAAGACCGGCCAGGATATAATATGGACTCATAGATCTGCTGGGTTTTGTCACTCATGCTCACTTTGGACTGTGACAACCTCCTCAGTGCCTATGCTGGCTGGATGAGGCTTTTCAAAGCCCATTCAATGTTCCTCTCACATGAGGATTTCTGCTATAATTTCAGAAGTGTAAACATCCTCCAAGGCTTTAAGGACTGTAGTTTATCACAGCATCCTTCATATACATTTTTCTCCATATATTCATACATTTTTGCATTCCTCCATTGAAAGAGGATGAACACATCTGCTGCAGGAAGTCTAACTGTCACAAACGCTGAGCCTAGCTCACTGAAAGAATTGTGTGGTCTTTTTGGAGCAAGCCCAGATGTAGTTGCAAAATTGTACGAACATTTGGAACAGCAGAAATTGGAGTGCACCCTTTCCATTAAAAATTCCCCAGTGTCTTTATTGGTTGTCTGGTAAGCTATGGTGTCTGTCAAGCATGCTGCCATCAGTGATGTGCTTTCAGTCTACCTTCCATGTTCAGCCTGTTTTTCTTAAAGACTTAACTGGAAGGTGACTTCTGCAGAGCATCCTGGAAAACGTTTCTAATGTACCACTGATTCAAGGTGATACCATTGCATTTGTTGTCACAGTTTTTCACTCTTTTTTTCTGCCAAAAGTAACTTAATCATTTTCCCTGCCAGTGAGCAGGCCCCTAGCAGCTTTCGGTCTGAAGCACAGCTTTCAAATATGTAAGTAAGAACTTTGAGGATTACTTCGAGTTACTAGTTCTCGTTTATCATGAAGATGCCTCTCATCCCTGATGGAACACCTATAATGAAATTCTCACTCCTCTTTCTCAAATCTTGCTTGCACTGAAAATCTTTAAACATTCTCACACTCTTGTGCTATATAAAGGCCCTGTACATCTGCACCCACCTCTTCCTTTTTCTGTTTTAAATCTTTTTAGAACTTAAATGCTCCATGTTGGAGCTCTTCTAGGACACGATCTTGCACCCATGCAACTGACACACAACTTCTGTGAGTTTTAGGGATGCAGGAATGATCTGAATAACTGCCAGCTAGAGATGTATAGTTGAGTGAGAAAAACGTATATAAATACATAGCTGGGTGAGAACCATCCACTTTCTTTACTGAGGAGGAAAAAGTGAGATGAAGGGGCTAAGCAAGACAGCATTGTGTATCAGCCCAATGACTGAACCTTGTGGTGTGGCTGCTTTCTCAGAAATGTGTATGTAAACTCTCAATGTGATACTCAGGTCTGTAACTCATGCCATGCTCTCTATTTTTATTCACAAATGCTGTTTTAGAAACTTGCTCACTGTAACCTACCAAAAGAGGCAATAATGTAAAGAATGGAGGTCTGAAGCAGGGGGTGGATTTTCTCTATGGTTTAGGAGTATGCCCAAGGCAATTGTGCAGGTTCTCTGATGGTGCCTTTATCAGTTGGGATTGAAAGAAAACTTGCAGAGGATGCGACTGTCTTTTGCCAGGAAGTTTTGTTTAAGCCTGCAAATTGCGGTTGGCACATCGCTAAATATTACCCTGGTAGATCTCTTTCTCTGATTTTTAGTTACTGCATTGGGAAATCTGTTAGATCTTATGTAACTATTTTCTTTGGAGAAAATGGGGAATAACCAGCACTTCCTACTAAAAAAAGAGGAAGAGCTAAGTTCATGTTATGCCACAAAGAATTTAGCAGTTTTTGTTGTTATTGTTGCAAGGAAATGGGCCACTGTCCGTTTAAGAACAACCTTAGAGCTAGCAACTTCACAACAGTCATATACCTCAAAGAAAAATATCTTGGAATCCTATTTAGGAGTCCCAGTGAGTAGCACCAGATGTGACCTTCTCAACATAAATAGTAAATACTATATGATTATGATGAACATGAAACCTCCAGCTATATTAAGTCTCCTTAAGTATTTCCAGTCATGGCAAAACTGTAGCATTATAGGAGAGCAAAGGGGGGAAAAAAAAAAATACACCACCAAATACCCAAGACTTTGCCACATCTGACTCTTAAGTCTCTCTTCCTTGTAATTTCTGCTCCACTCATCCACAGGAGTGAGTGGACCAGCAAAACCTGTAGCAGAACTACATTCTGTCTCCTTTTAGGAAAGGGAAGAACAGGCAATTTTTGGCTGCCTTGTGGAAGGCAAACAAATTTTGTGTGGAACTGTGTTTAAACTCAGGTCAGGTCTGGCCAGATGTTGGAAATATTGCCTGTGCAACAGGAAAAAAGGAGCTCTGCAGGAAACACTTCAGTTGAAAGGGCTGTGTGCTCCTCTGTACTTTCGCTAGGCTGCATGCTTGGCCATTCATGATGTTGTCCCTTCTGCATAGGTAATAGGTCAGACTTACAGCTGTGCTAATATGGTAAATTAGGGCTGTGCTGAGTCACTTCAAACTGGTCTTCAGCTCACTTCTGTGTCCTAAAACATGGGTTAGAATCAAATGTCAACTAATTAAGGAATACCACGTTTTCAGTTTGAACCTTAGTCTGAGAAAGTTCACTTCTTTCCCACTGTGATGTTAATTACTAAATAAAACCAGCTACTGAATAAGAGTGTGTGTATTAAAAAGTGTGTGGCAGAAGTCCTAACTTAGGGATGTTTCTAAATGAAGATATATATATGTATCTCTAGAGTGTTATTTAAACTATGGTTTCATATCATAATATACTTCAATTAGTAGAAGCAATCACCTGTGTAAGGGACTTGGAAACCCCAGGAGGTTTTGTCTTTGTGGCTTAATGTATGAATAGAATTTTTTGCTCAGCTCAGGACTGACTCCACTTCTCCTTAATGTATTCTCTAAAGGATGTTATTTAGTACTTCAGCAGAATAAGATAGTTTTTTGGTAGGTCTGTGGGTGGTTTTTCCCCCCCTTATAATTCAATACAGAATTGAAGAAACCTCTGAATTTAATTTTTTTATCTATCTAGCTTACAGGATTTACATAATTGGTTGTTCATGCAGCATTTCTGTATTATTCTTTGATATTTCTATGCTGTGTGAAATGTCTTAGTAATTTTTCAGGGGCTGTCTTAGCTGTAGTGCTGTGTATGGTCTTTAAACTCATAGCCCTTGCACATGAATTATTGCAGCATTATCGAGATGGAGATGCAAGTGAATAGAAGGAATGCAGAGCTTCTGAAACTAACTGGTGCCCTCACAACTCTGAAACTTCCTGCAGCTCTACCTGTTTATTTTAAAATCAGCCTAAAGACATGATCATGGTGTAAGAGGGATTTCAAGATAACCGTTTAAGATGTGAGGATATGACAGTCCAGAGGCATCACCATAGTTCTTCTGGACGCACCATGGCTAGCTTTGCGCTACCTGGCCTGCGTAATGGCAGAAGGGACCTTGAGGTGCCCAGGCTCACCTGGGACTAAAGATACCTGCTTTCTAGGAGCAGCTGATGCCACTGTAAACCAACTAGTGCAAGTCTGCACCGATTGACAGTTTGGCACGAACTGAAATCTTCTGACTGCCATATAGGCACATGTTGAGCAGAAACAAGATGCAAAGCATAGATGATATTCAATAGTATCTTGGTCCTAATATCCTTATTCAAACATAATTCCTCTTAAAGTGACTTAAGAACTGCCTTTAAGGACAGGAAGTGTTACTTGCTTAATAGTGAAGAACATGTTCAGAATGGTTGGTTTGTTTGCTCAGCTATTTCTTTGACAAAAATAAAGGCCAGTTCTGCAATACTTCTTGTTCACACGACAACCATGTGGCTATAAATAGGGCTTATGAGCCTCTCTGCTGTTGAATGGGTCACATTACCACAGTTATTTTTTTATGGACTTGAAATCCCATGTGTGTGCAATGTTATGTGATTCAAAGAAAAGCAAGCAAACAGGTTAGGGGGAAAAGCAGCCTTTTGAAATTAAAACATCTCTGCCCTACTGTGTTTCTGTCATCCATTAACATGCTGTCGAAGTAAACAGAACACTACGATGTATTGGTGCGTTCAACAGCACAGCAGGTGCATCCTGCTTGGAGTATTCATTCAGTAGCTGACAAACGTTTAGTGTGCTACCTAAATTACCTCCTTTCTTCTTTCCGCAGAAAATCAGCTTAGAGTGACCTGGCTCACAAAGCGTCTCCGAGTAGGTTAAGATGGTCTTCCCATTTATGATCAGGTCTAACTTGACGTACAGTTCCTTGATGCTGTGTCCTACATGCAAAGCAGAAGGATAGCTCAGAGAAAGTGCAAGGGTGAACAAGTTTATTACTTTATTTTTAAAAAGATGCTGTTTTTTTCCTCTGGTATTTAAGCCATTGAATATTTTTTTCTTCACTGAGAACTCCTGATACACAGAAATCTGTGCTGCAGGAACTGGTCTCTGGACCTTATATACCCTTCCAGTATATAACAGGGGAAATAATAGTGGATATCTTTATTGTTAAGTAAACGATGCCCATGACCACTCTCTGACCCTGAGGCCAACTGGCATAGTAAAGCTTGTGTCTAAGCACCTAAACTTTCTTCCCTACTGTCCCTAGTAGAGGGACCTGTCGTGGTTTTAGGCTGATCCAGCAATATCCAATGGGCCCCTGGGAGCAGCCTAGTACCTGTACTTGCTGTCTAGGAAAACAGTAGCTAGCCTGGGCCAAACCTGTGCCAGGGATGAGCATGGCAGCTTGGCAGTGCTGGGAGGTTGCCTGCTTGTGCCTGGCTTGCTGATGTAGATATGGCTAGTGTGAGGCTATTGGATTTAGAGGGAGGTCCTGTACTCTGAGTTGTTGGAAAAGTATTTGCTATAGCCTGTAATGTGAGTTTGCAGTAACTTTGCAGCCACCTGGAAACTGGTGGTCCGTGGGCAAAAGGACAGCATATCTCACAGGAGGGAGACCTTTTGCATGCAAGGAAGCATTCCCAAATGCTAAAAGACACTTGGCACACGTTTTCAGCACTAGGACCATACAGCAGTGCTCTCATATTTATGCTCTAGTAGTAGAGGTTCTAGGTGAGCTTGGGGCCAACAGGGTTGCAAGAGAGTGACTTTCCTGTGCAAAGATCACAAGTGAAACTGTGGCTAATATTAACTTGTGCGCCCAGCCCATTAGCTCAAATGCAGTTCTGCTTTTGACCTTTTATTGCTGATCAGTCAAGTGCTGGAGGGTATAATTTCAGCTAGCACAGATGGTGAGCTGGTGATGTGACTATTGCCCCAGGGTAGCACTCCTGCAGTGCTCTGGATCCCCAGCACTCCCTGACATGCTTCTTTGCATGCCCAAGAGGGGCAGGGATGTGCCCCCACCCTACTCTGAGGGCATTCCTTAGTTCAGTTTCCCACCTGCAAGGGTCAGCCTTGGTGATCTGGTAAGCACTGCTGGTGCTGGCAGAAGAGTGGAGCTGCTGTAGTGGTTTCATTCAACAAGACTCTCTCCAGAAGACTTAGCTATGAAAACAAGCTCTAGAGTGACCCCCACCTTGGCTATCCATACGTACAAATGAAGGGTAGGAGAGGAACAGAGGCTGATGGCTGATATGACCTGCTTAGGGTGACATATGTAGTCTAAGGCAGAGCTGATAACAGAACTGATGTTTCTGGAGCCCACACAGGTTTTAAAATATGAATGGGCTTAATTTCTGAGAAACTTCATAGGAGGCTATCGCCCTTGCTTACTACTTAATACTCACACATGAGCACTTGCACATGAATTACCTGTTTGTGGTGTAAGAAGTTAGCAATTCACTTACTTAGGACAATTGCAGCTCTGATGTTAAAGGTGTGGGTTGTGATATCAGAACAATGGTCAATGCTGAGAGCAAAATCTTGCTGGGGATCTGTTTGGAGACAGAAAGCAGCAATGGGTAGAAAACTTTATTTTTAATGAGATGCTGTATAGAAGAAAACAATAAAATATATGAATGTTATAAATACCATTACATGTTCCTTAGAATTTCTCCAAGATGTGCTCAAAGTTCCCGTACCCTGTGTTTAATAGCTACTTCAATCTGGAGCATGTTTAGGTCATAGCCTATATGTGGCTAAAACCTACTGTGGGGGAAAACAAGTCAAGTTCAGGGAAAGCAAGTTCCCCACAGTGGTGGGTAGTCAATACTTGTTCAACAGTGAAGTCTTAGCACAGCTGCTGCTCTTCCCAGTGCATTGCCATTCCTTCCTCAGCACTGGCAAGCAACTGGTTATGATGATGTTTTTTAATTAATTTGTATCACAAGACGGCTTGGTGAGGCTGATTGGGAGCCTGAATCCTGAAGAGTGACGAAACGTCCAAAAATGAAAGTAAAATAGTGTAACTGAGATCCTGCAGTGTTTCATGCTGGGTCCACCATCATGTGCTATTTCTAACCCAGGGGAATATTCTGCATTTCCTTCTCTCTGGGAGTTTTTAGCAGAGCTGGGTTTAAAGGGAGTCTTACAGCTGATGATGGACATGAACGTGGCTCCTGCAGTGTCTGTTTCTCAGCATGAAGTTCCAAAACTCTTGTAGAAACGCAACTGTTTTCCCCCTACTTTCACATTCTTTCTTTATAGCCTCCTTGAGACTCTGTGCTACTCCTGAAGGCTTGCCAACGTGTCACTCCCTGGTGACAGCCGGCAGTAACAACTGACAGCTCAGCTGCCACAACCAACAGCATATGCAAGTATTTTCCAGAGCTGTGGCTGGAGGTGAAAGATTTGGCCAGTTTGGCAGCATATCATCTTGAGCCTCAAGCCTTGCTTTAGGCATAGGTCTGTCCCTCATGGTGGCTTTCCAGCCAGCCTGTGCACCCAACTTCCTTCTCTGTGGAAACCAGAGAAGTGACTGCGATACGTGCAGAAGCAGCTGTAGGCTCCTCTGTTTACATGGAGCTGATGGTGACAAAATATAGATTTGGGAATTGAATTCTGTTTCTAAGTTATTGTTGCTTTCAACTTTCACTGAATTGAAAATAACAGGTTGGCAGAATTTTCCTTTGATGCTGTGGTGGAACATGAGTCACAAGTGTCCTCTGTGAGGCTGAGCTAGCATCTCCATAGCCTGACTCTATTTTTGCAGCGGTGCCCTACAGCTGTAGCAGCTGGCAGGGAGCAAGCCTGGGTGACCAAAGCCTGATTGCCTAGAGAGGAGCCTGAAAAGAATGAAAGGGCTAGGAGGAGTTGGGGGCTCTGACGAAGCCAGGCTCTGCAGCACATGGATTCTCAGTGTGGTCCAAAAGGAGCTCTGAAGTTCTGGTAAACTAAAATAACCCCTTAAAGGAGGGAGATAAGTCACTGGTATTTCCTGGAACTCTGCATCCCTGTGCTGGATTTTGTCCTCCACACCACTAAAGCAGTCTCTGCAATTGCATGATCTGCTTGGGACAAAATTTGGTGCCTGTAGTTGTTTATAGCCTACTCAAGTGTGACAAGAGTCAGAGGGTTTTCTTTCCTCTTTCATTTTTCCTGCCAGTTCTGGCTTTGTTATTGCAGCTTCAGAAGCTGTTGCGATTGGGTGGGAGAGCAGTTTCCTGCTCCAGCTGGAAAGCATGTCAAACTTCTCTTTTCTCCAGGACCGTTACGCCTGCTTCCCCTCTGGTCTCTGCCACCTCTCAAGGGCTTGGTTTCCGCTTTCCTCTGGGCTTTTGCAAGATCCTCTCTTGTTCCTGTTTTGCGTGTGGTGTGATGATAAGGTTCAGGAAGCAGCTGCTCAGATTCAGAGCAACGTGGGCATTGATGCCGGCAAGCAGTGCTGGTTGTCAAATGACTGAAACTGTCAGCTCTGTAATTTCCAGAGGGATCTATGGTCAAAAATGGCATTGCAATGTACATGTTGCTCTTCTCTTTTCAAAGAGACTAGGCTGTGCTTTAGTCAACAAATTAAATCATGGTATTGGGACTAGAAGTTGAAACTTTAGTTTAAAATTTCTCATCGATAACTGTTTGGATGGAAACAGGATGTTCATGAAACAAGCTTCTCTGGGAAGCATGGGCTTCTTAAGATGAACCTGACCTCAGGGTTGTTTTAATTTGGATGTCTCACACCTATTTGTGTGGGGTGGTTTGGGTTTTTTTTGTTTGTTTGTTTTTCCCCTATGGGTTGAGCTCTTCTGATAGATGACACATTTCATGGTGCATCAGAGCCATGGGTGTCATCTACTGCACTGCTACTGACACAGCACAGAACTCCTGTATCCAGAGAAATGTTGTCTGGTCCCCAGAGAGGAAGAGAGTGTGGAAGCACTTACATGAGAAATTCCAGCAAAATTTGTGAATTAGAGCACTTGGATTTTTGTGTTGTTGCTCTATTGCTGAGAAATGTAAACTTTTTCACTGGCAAAATAAACCCAATCAATTTTCTGACCATCTCCCTGTGGAAATTCAGGCTAGGACTTTGCAATCCAACATCTTAGATATCGTAGTGGGCATGAGGGTCTCCTGCT